GGGGGAAAGCAAAGTGAAACTACGCCCTCCCCAGAGAACCGCAAAAATGAGGCTGTTTTGAATAGCAATAAATCAACAGAAAAAGCCTTATCGGCGTGTCTTTTTTCGAAAAATAAAACTGTTCTCCTTTCAACTGCGATTGTTTGGGTTAGAAATATTTATGGCCAATTCGTTAAAGCAAGAACAGTTCTTGATTCAGGCTCAATGTCAAATTTTGCTACAAATGAATTCTGTGAGCGTGCAAATTTAAAAAAGGAAAGAATAAATATTCCCGTTTCTAGTTTAAATGGGCAAATTTCAAACATTAAATCTCGTACTTTTGCTTCTATTTTTAATGAAAATAATTCGTTCTCTGCTTCATTAAATTTTTTAGTTGTAAATAAAATCACAGATTTAGTACCTTCTACAAAATTAAATATTGAAAAAGATAGATATTCCTAATACATCAAGTTTGGCTGATCCAGAATTTGCAATTCCATCTAGTATAGATCTGCTTTTAGGAGCAGAAATATTTTATGACATTTTTATTAATGGACAATTTAAATCTTCTACGAAATCACTCGTTTTCAGAAATTCTGTGTTTGGTTATATAGCTACTGGTTCTTTGAAAACATCTTTTGAAAATTGTCAGAATTATTGTGGACTTCTCGGTAATGTTGATAATATTGATAGATTAGTAGAAAAAATAAGTTTGGTTAGTGGAAAATATTGGTGAAGAAAAGCCAATGCTTAGCCAAGAAGAATTCTGTGAACAACATTTCAAATACACTTACAGACAAAATGAAGATGGCAGATTTATCGTAAAAATGCCTATGAAAGACGAACAATTAGGGAATTCAAAGCATTTAGCCAACATTAGACTCAATCAATTAGTTAAACGTCTTATCAAAAACGCTACATTGCAACATTTATATCAAGATTTCATAACAGAATATGAAAATTTGGACCATATGGAAAGGGTCGATGATAATTCAAAACCGGAACTTGAATATTACCTCCCCCATCATGGAGTATATAGACCAGAGAAGTCAAGTACAAAATTAAGAGTTGTGTTTAATGCTAGTGCCCCAAGCTCAAATGGATTAAGTTTGAATGATTTACTTTTAGCGGGAGCAGTCCAAGAAGATACTTTTGATATTCTTGTGAGATTTAGAAAACATCAAGTTGCAGTTATTGTGGATATACAAAAAATGTACCGGCAAATTTTAGTTGATGAATCCCAAAGAGACTTACTTCGAATCTTATGGAAGAGAAACCTTAGCGACTCACCTGTGACATATAGACTCAAAACGGTGACTTATGGTACTAAAAGTGCTCCATTTTTAGCCATTAGATGCATAAAGCAAGTTGCATATGACGAAATGCATAAATATCCTGAAGCTGCCAAAGCTGTCTTGTCAGACTGTTATGTTGATGATGTCATCTCTGGTTCATCAAACTTAGACTCAGCAAGGGAATTGAAAAATCAGCTTATACAGCTTTTTCATAGTTGTGGAATGACTTTGCACAAATGGAACTCTAATTCTCCTGAACTGTTGGATAGCCCTTCTACAAGCTCTGAGCTTTCATTCTCCTCCAAAAGTGATAATGTGGTTAAAGCTTTAGGTATTACATGGAATTCTCAGAAGGATGAATTCAGCTTTAAAGTCTCAATCAAGGAGAAATCATCATATACCAAAAGAGACATTTTATCGACAATTGCCAGACTTTATGATCCTTTAGGACTGATTGGTCCGGTAATCACCAAAGCCAAGATATTTTTACAGAAATTATGGGTTCAAAAACTGAGTTGGGATGAACCACTTTTTGCAACTATTGCTCACGAATGGCAACAAATAGTTTCAAATTTAAAGGCTGTTGAAAACATAAAAATTAATCGTTGCATCCTCTCCAATCATCCAAGCAAGATTTCACTCATTGGATATGCAGATGCTTCGGAAGCCGCTTATGGTGCAGTTGTCTACTTGATTTGTGTCGATGAAGATCACAGCTCGTCATCTCATCTACTAGCCAGCAAATCTCGTGTGGCTCCATTGAAAACCTTTATCTATTCCAAGATTGGAACTTTGTGCATGTTTGTTATTGGCTCATCTGATTTCGAAAGTTAGCAACTCATTGAAGATGCATTTAGATGACATCATTCTGTGCACTGATTCAAACGATAGCACTGTCATGGTTGAAGACTTCTCCTCATCTTTTGAAGACCTTTGTTGCAAATAGAGTCTCCAAAATCCAAAGACTAGTAGAACCACGACACTGGAAGCACGTATCATCAGCAAATAATCCGGCAGATCTGATTTCTCGTGGTGCTTATCCTCATGAACTTGTGACATCTTCCTTGTGGTGGAATGGTCCTGAACATAACGAACTTAGTGACGCCTCTTTATTTGAACTTGACAAGACTCTCCTAGATTCTCCTGCTTATCAGGATGAACTTAAAAAAAACTTTAGACGTTAATTTGAACTGCAATTTAAACTTGTTTTGGAATACCTTTTTTGAATTAACAAATAATTATGTTAAACTAATTAGAATTTTAAGTCTTATTTTCAGGTTTCTGTCCAATCTGAAAGGTCCAGTGAAGAAAACAGGCCCCATTAGTAGCACTGAATATCAAGATGCGGAAATGCACTTGATAAAAATGGTTCAGGTAATAGAATTTGCAGAGGAGATTAAATCACTTCAAGATCAGAGAGTAATCAAAAGTCAGGTAAAAACTTTAAATCCATTTTTAGATGGAAAAGATATATTACGTGTGGGCGGTCGCTTAACTCATGCCACAATTAATTATGATTCTAAACATCAAATTTTATTGCCAAAAAAATCATAAGCTTACCAAGCTAATATTTATTCATTATCATTTGAAAAATTTTCATGCTGGTCCTCAAGCATTATTACATTTTGTTAGGGAAAGGTTTTGGCCCATTGGTGGCAAGGACTTAGCTAGAAAAACAGTTCATGAATGCTTAATTTGTTTTCGTCATAAACCTATCATTTCAGATCAATTAATGGCCGATTTATCTCCTGAACGTGTAAATCCAAATCTAAACTTTCATAACACAGGGATAGATTTTGCAGGCCCTTTTCTAATCAAATATAGAAATCAAAGGAAAGGTAGTTTACATAAAGTTTATATAGCAATCTTTGTTTGCTTAGTTACAAAAGCGATTCATTTAGAAATAGTATTTGACTTAACATCTGAAGCCTTTATTGCATGTTTAAAACGATTTTTTTCGCGTAGAGGTAAAAGCTCATGTCTGTTTAGTGACAATGCAACTAATTTTGTAGGAGCTCACAAAGAGTTAAAGAAACTTGCTTCTTTAGTTTACTGTCCCTGATGAAGTTTTGGGTAAGTATTTGGCATCTGAAAATATCTCTTGGAAATTTATTCCTCCTCGTGCCCCAATTTTTGGTGGAATTTGGGAGGCCGGAATCAAATCTTTTCAAATTTCATCTTAAAAGAACTATTTCCGATGCTAAACTAACCTATGAAGAATTTTTAACCGTAATTGATCAAATTGAAGGAATACTAAATTCGAGACCTCTTTCTCCTTTATCGTCTGAACCTTCAGATTACGAACCCTTGACGCCAGGTCACTTTTTAATAGGCAGACCCATAAACTCAATTGTAGAACCTCAAATTTTAGACTTGTCAGAAAGCAGATTGTCAAGATGGCAAAAGTTAACTAAAATGATACAGATTATATGGAAACGATGGATAACTGACTATCTTAATCACTTGCAACAACGAAAGAAATGGTATTTTTCAAAGGACAATATAAAGAAAAATACAATAGTTATTATTAAAGATGATCAGTTTAAATGGTTACTAGGAAGAATTGATCAGACAATTCCTGGTAAAGATGGTAAGATACGAGTAGCAGTCATTAACACAAAGTTTGGTCCAATTAAAAGGCCAATATCAAAATTTTGTTTATTGCCTATTGAGGATAACTTCAAGGATTAAGTTTCTATTGTTAATAAAATATACATTGTTCTTTATTATATTTTGGTAATTTTGATGAAAAAATGTGATTTTTTTTTTACTGTTTGAAATGTTGATATACTTACCATAATTATTGAAAAATTTTGCAAATGTTCAAACTTTATGGAATTTTCTGAATTGTTTATTTCATTCTGTAAATGATTTACTAACTTTAAGTGTTTTGTTAATGCTTAAAAAAATGAATAGCTGAATTGTTAGCATTTGATATTGAATTGTATACTTAGATTTAGTTTGCATATCATAGATATTGCAACGTGGGACGGTATGTTGCCTCCTACGCGGCAATATAGGTTATGTACAGCGCATTGTTTTTGCGCAACTTCAAAGTTATGTACAGCGCATTGTTTCTGCGCAATTTTAGTTAGTTCAGATTCGAACTTCTAGCGTAGCATACATGTTTTTGATCCCGTATGGTCGGGAATTCATCATTTTCGATTGAGAGTTTTAGTTATGATACAGTGCACTAAATAAAATTGTTTGTTGTTGTTGTACTAAAGTTGTCTTTAGTATACAGTCTAACCAGCGACCTCAAAAAAAACTTACGTTGCCTTCTCTCAAACGTCAAAGAATTTCACGAACGCAATGAGTCGCCAATTTATAACTGTTTTTAACTGCATTAATGTCCCACATGTTCAAAATTTTCTGTGTCTTCAAGATACGCGTGGTATTTTGAACTCGATGTCTGCTTCACTTCTCTAATAATAGTGTCTCGCAAATCAGTTATTTTCGAAGTTAATATACACATTTAACGGCGTTTCCTCTCTTCATCTAGTTAATTCTAGACAGCGCATCAGCAATAAGAAATTAGGTCAATCTTCAAAGGGATGATTATCTTAAAAGTAATTGCGACAGTGTGTGTTGATTTTCGGAGTCGCGCCATTCAGTAATTGAACATTAATTCTTTGAGTTTAATAAAGCGGCAGTAGCCAAAATTGATTTTCTTTATTCTCGATACAATTTAAGAGACACACTTTCCTTATTCTGAATACATTTTATTCAGAAATGAAATGATTATTTCCATGAAATCATCGGTGCTCTTAGAAAGCTCACTTATGCCTTGCCCCAAGGCTATCTTAAAAGTAATTGCGACAGTGTGTGTTGATTTTCGGAGTCGCGCCATTCAGTAATTGAACATTAATTCTTTGAGTTTAATAAAGCGGCAGTAGCCAAAATTGATTTTCTTTATTCTCGATACAATTTAAGAGACACACTTTCCTTATTCTGAATACATTTTATTCAGAAATGAAATGATTATTTCCATGAAATCATCGGTGCTCTTAGAAAGCTCACTTATGCCTTGCCCCAAGGCTATCTTAAAAGTAATTGCGACAGTGTGTGTTGATTTTCGGAGTCGCGCCATTCAGTAATTGAACATTAATTCTTTGAGTTTAATAAAGCGGCAGTAGCCAAAATTGATTTTCTTTATTCTCGATACAATTTAAGAGACACACTTTCCTTATTCTGAATACATTTTATTCAGAAATGAAATGATTATTTCCATGAAATCATCGGTGCTCTTAGAAAGCTCACTTATGCCTTGCCCCAAGGCTATCTTAAAAGTAATTGCGACAGTGTGTGTTGATTTTCGGAGTCGCGCCATTCAGTAATTGAACATTAATTCTTTGAGTTTAATAAAGCGGCAGTAGCCAAAATTGATTTTCTTTATTCTCGATACAATTTAAGAGACACACTTTCCTTATTCTGAATACATTTTATTCAGAAATGAAATGATTATTTCCATGAAATCATCGGTGCTCTTAGAAAGCTCACTTATGCCTTGCCCCAAGGCTATCTTAAAAGTAATTGCGACAGTGTGTGTTGATTTTCGGAGTCGCGCCATTCAGTAATTGAACATTAATTCTTTGAGTTTAATAAAGCGGCAGTAGCCAAAATTGATTTTCTTTATTCTCGATACAATTTAAGAGACACACTTTCCTTATTCTGAATACATTTTATTCAGAAATGAAATGATTATTTCCATGAAATCATCGGTGCTCTTAGAAAGCTCACTTATGCCTTGCCCCAAGGCTATCTTAAAAGTAATTGCGACAGTGTGTGTTGATTTTCGGAGTCGCGCCATTCAGTAATTGAACATTAATTCTTTGAGTTTAATAAAGCGGCAGTAGCCAAAATTGATTTTCTTTATTCTCGATACAATTTAAGAGACACACTTTCCTTATTCTGAATACATTTTATTCAGAAATGAAATGATTATTTCCATGAAATCATCGGTGCTCTTAGAAAGCTCACTTATGCCTTGCCCCAAGGCTATCTTAAAAGTAATTGCGACAGTGTGTGTTGATTTTCGGAGTCGCGCCATTCAGTAATTGAACATTAATTCTTTGAGTTTAATAAAGCGGCAGTAGCCAAAATTGATTTTCTTTATTCTCGATACAATTTAAGAGACACACTTTCCTTATTCTGAATACATTTTATTCAGAAATGAAATGATTATTTCCATGAAATCATCGGTGCTCTTAGAAAGCTCACTTATGCCTTGCCCCAAGGCTATCTTAAAAGTAATTGCGACAGTGTGTGTTGATTTTCGGAGTCGCGCCATTCAGTAATTGAACATTAATTCTTTGAGTTTAATAAAGCGGCAGTAGCCAAAATTGATTTTCTTTATTCTCGATACAATTTAAGAGACACACTTTCCTTATTCTGAATACATTTTATTCAGAAATGAAATGATTATTTCCATGAAATCATCGGTGCTCTTAGAAAGCTCACTTATGCCTTGCCCCAAGGCTATCTTAAAAGTAATTGCGACAGTGTGTGTTGATTTTCGGAGTCGCGCCATTCAGTAATTGAACATTAATTCTTTGAGTTTAATAAAGCGGCAGTAGCCAAAATTGATTTTCTTTATTCTCGATACAATTTAAGAGACACACTTTCCTTATTCTGAATACATTTTATTCAGAAATGAAATGATTATTTCCATGAAATCATCGGTGCTCTTAGAAAGCTCACTTATGCCTTGCCCCAAGGCTATCTTAAAAGTAATTGCGACAGTGTGTGTTGATTTTCGGAGTCGCGCCATTCAGTAATTGAACATTAATTCTTTGAGTTTAATAAAGCGGCAGTAGCCAAAATTGATTTTCTTTATTCTCGATACAATTTAAGAGACACACTTTCCTTATTCTGAATACATTTTATTCAGAAATGAAAATGATTATTTCCATGAAATCATCGGTGCTCTTAGAAAGCTCACTTATGCCTTGCCCCAAGGCTATCTTAAAAGTAATTGCGACAGTGTGTGTTGATTTTCGGAGTCGCGCCATTCAGTAATTGAACATTAATTCTTTGAGTTTAATAAAGCGGCAGTAGCCAAAATTGATTTTCTTTATTCTCGATACAATTTAAGAGACACACTTTCCTTATTCTGAATACATTTTATTCAGAAATGAAATGATTATTTCCATGAAATCATCGGTGCTCTTAGAAAGCTCACTTATGCCTTGCCCCAAGGCTATCTTAAAAGTAATTGCGACAGTGTGTGTTGATTTTCGGAGTCGCGCCATTCAGTAATTGAACATTAATTCTTTGAGTTTAATAAAGCGGCAGTAGCCAAAATTGATTTTCTTTATTCTCGATACAATTTAAGAGACACACTTTCCTTATTCTGAATACATTTTATTCAGAAATGAAATGATTATTTCCATGAAATCATCGGTGCTCTTAGAAAGCTCACTTATGCCTTGCCC